AGATTTCAAAGTGCTGAGCACAATCCATGATGCCACCAGCACAGTGCTGTGTAGGACAACGACGGTCCATACATTTTGTCGTTTAACCGATTTATGTCTGCTGGATGCGGCACGCGAGCCGCCCGCCTCACCGCGGTTTCCCGTGGCGACCGGAAACCGACACGCGTGGATCTCTCAAGTAAAAGGCCGTATCCAGTGTCGGAGCCAGCAGGTGGTTGAAATGAATACATCCATCTCGCAGCAGTTCATATTCCCGCTTTCCATTTTGTGAATGAACCGTGGAGGAGTATAAGTGAGTCCACATGTACTGCAGCGCAATAGGAGGACATGTAAAATGTATGTTAAGCGTCCCAGGAACCTATTTCTGAAGAGGCGAGCTCAGCGCACATGGTAATGCATCATTTTGACCCGTGGCGGACCTGTAGAGGCGTGCGATACAGCCTCTTCAACAGCGAGAGACACACCGGGAGAAAGCACTTTCCCCGGCCGTTACCATGGAAATCCAATGAACTTGCCATTGCTCTCCGATAAAATGGGTAAAAACGAATCTGCTTTTCTTGTGCGTTAAATCGGGACATAAATGCTGATGCCTGGTGGCGGATCGTGCGCGGCCGAACCCCCACTTCACATAAAAAACATACGAGCCAGAAGGAAAGGAAGGGGCCAGACCGAGAAATACCGCTTCACCTCAGACACGCCTGCCTGAAGGAAGAGAAGTGCAGACGTCGACTGAGACTCCTATTTGGATGCCGAAGAGCTTGGCTGTCAATCAGAGCACAATGCTGAATTTTAACACGACCTGCTGTTTGTTTGTAGCCTCGACTTCAGCAAGTGGCGTTGGACAGGAAAGAGGGGGTGCCGGAGAATTGGCCAGTGCTTCTGCGTGGCAAAGCTTTTGTTCGCTGGTAAAATGTCTCCCGTCTCCCACGTGACAGAGAGACACAGAGTTAGCGGCAAAGCCATTTCCCACTCACCTGAAAATTAGAGTCATTTCCATCTGTTTGTTGCTAACACGAGAAGCCCCCGCGTGTTCGCCACTGCTGCTGACACACAGGACCAGCGCTTCCTCCTGTGAGGGATGCCGTCACGGAGGCAGGAACACTGACTTTTGATCATTCGGGCCGATCATTTGCCAACCAGCTTGATTGAGTTATGTGACAAGGCGAGAAGTAGCACCGAAGTGTGATTGTTCCTCCCTCTCTCTGTCTGCACCCTCGTCTTCTACAAGCGTTTCAGGTGACTCGGCGGAAATCAGCCCAGATTGACACTTTGACATCAGCGTTAATTGGAAATTCCTCACCACCAGCTCGCCACCTTTATGACTGAAGAGGTCCAGCCCCCCCCAACCGGTGCTGCTGGAGGGGCAGGCAGCAGGAGAGGCGATGGGGTCAAACGGCGTGAGCCGTTCCAATTCTCGAATGCATACGTGCTTTGTGGCGCGTGGCGGAGGAGGACGGCGCAACGTCCGTAAGCCGCCACCACCGCTCTACATTTTCTGAGCGCATCAGCCAGCAGTGTGGGTGTAGGCACCATTAGCCCGACTCTCTGGCTCTTTGCAATGGCTGCCTGGTAAGGCTTCCACTAGAACTCACACATACATGCATACTAATTAAATAGCCCCCCCCCCCCCATCCTCTGGCCAGTGTGATTGCCTTATGGCATTGTTACTCAGAGGACAAACAGCCTGCTGTCACATCATTCACCAAGTAAATTGCAGATACTCAGCAAGGTCGTGTGAATGGCCGCATGCAGAGCCTGAAATGCTCCTGGGTTACTAAAAGTTATGACCGGCTGTAACAATATGTTGTTATTTGTGATGTTGACGTGGACCACATGTCCACAAGAGCATTCATTTTGGTATTCAATATGTTGATCGTTATTGCTGCAGGGTGCAGTCTGTTATGACAACGTGGCATGTCGCAGCGGCAAAGTTATACGATGGCTGGATTCCATTTAGCTGTTTCAGGGCCCTTGTGACTTGCGGCCTTCACGCACCTGGGTTGCAACGAATAAGAGACAACAAAATGAAGACATCACGAGTGATTTGCCTTGTGTGTGAAGACACGAGAGTTGCAGAAATAGCAAAGGTTGTCTCGTGTCAGGAGAGACGCTAAATTACAGCTGAGGGGTCCTGCATAGTCGCTTATTTAATTATTTACATTCTGTGGGTTTGTCACTCCTACAAATAGTAATTTAATATTTAATACTAGATCTGTAGAGGATGGATAGCTGTGATGTGACAGAGGTAAAAAAAGACAATTAAGAAGGTGCTACCAGGTAGGCACATTTATTGACCTCACACTTGAGTATTTGTGTCTGAACAGTGATCCTTTTATTAAAAGTAGGCATCTAGGATATATTTCATCTGACCGCCTTGCTTTTCTCTGACGTGTTCATCAAACTGTCACGGCCTCGAGAGCAAAGAAAAGAAAAAAAATCTCATTTATTTCTGGCTGGAAGCAACGATGGGGCCTCAAATCCTGCTGCCACCGAGGTCACAAGCTAGCTGTCCTCTCTTCTGTGAATCCCTCTTCGTCCCCTTCGCACTCTATCTTCCTCCCGCGCAGCGCAGCCTCCCTTTGCTTGGCAGGGATTTGACCAAACAAAACCTAACCGGCTATCTCTAAAGCAAGCGGACTGCCAGAGGTGATTTTTCAACCTGACTGCCTGGGCTCAATGAGTTTCACGTGGCCAGGCCAAATTTCCTTTCCCTCCAACTGGCAGCCCTGGATAAAAATATAACTGGCCTCTGAGCTCCGATTCGTCCCCAACATCATTAGCTGCTCCATTATCCCTTTACCCTTAAACGTAATGCTCTGAAAATGAGGTAATAACACATTTAATGGTCATGTTTGTTTTGCTGGACCTCACTTTGTCGGGTTAATCTGTCTCACTCGAGAGCTGTACGGGGAAAGGGTACATATCTTTGGCTTCTAACGGTAGCCTGGAGGAACGCTCGCTGAGCCAGGAGGACTTTGCATGGCATCAATTCACTACACACAGCGCGAACCTTTTTCGTCAACCAGATCCAGACTGGCGGAGCTGCTCAACATGCACGCGTTGCGTTCACTGACAACATTTGCCATTCGATGGTTAAATTATATATTTTATTATTATTCCCAGAAGAGTGGGCACAGGAGTCTCCATTGGAGGCAGGGACACCGTCCAACCTTATGTAGAGAACACGGTGGGATTTAATAAGATTTGGTATTACAGAACAAATTCGCCAAGCGCTGCTTTTAATTAGACGAGCCAGGACAGAGAGGGTGGGGGGATGCAAATGGCTCGTCAGATCGGAAATGTTATTATTAATCCAAAGGTTGACCTGGGCGGCCTTTTGCACGGCCGAGGTTTATCATCCACGAGGAGGCCGCACGCTTCCCCCAAAATGGCCGAGCAGCACTTCCTTCTGAGACAAATTGTCTGGGATCAGCAGCTAGGCAGCTGTCTGACGGGGAGGTGAGATGTACAGGGAACACGTGGGCACTTTCATCATGACCATCATTCTTTTTTTTTTCTTCCTGTCTCCTGCAGCGTGTCACCTGCTGCAGCGTGTCACCGTGTCCTCAGGAGCCTCGCGCCGTATCACCCACCCACCCACACACACACACACACACGCACAGCAGCCCTACAGTACAGTTGAATAGGATCCCCGTAATTGGACACGTACGGCACAGTTTGGTCCCTGGATTACTGCTCTGTTACAAAAGTGAGAGATCAGCGCACGCAGAAGTCTTAAGAACAATGCATTTGTACTGTAGTCATACAGAACAAAGGGAGCACGCAGGGAACCTGTGCTCCACATTCCTAAGATCCAAAAGGACAGGCATAATTGTGTGGCTTTGCAATATCCAAAACCGCTTAGTAAAACAGTGCAATAAACCAGATACCTGTGACTAAAGTGGGCCGTTTGACTATAGAGGGGTCGATGGGTTTATTACCCGTCTTAAATCTGTGAAAGAAATCAATTCCCAAAAGTGTTTACTCTCCATTGACCGATCAGCGTGTGTGAAATATTCTACAACCATTGTCTGTTATCCTGTTGATTGCCCCGTAATTGGCTTTTAATCTGTCGAATATTTTTTTTTTTTTATAATGGGGCGGTGCAAATAGATTCTTAAACAGCCCGCGCATTATGAATATTAAGTGGCAGATTCTGTGTTTCACAAGCTGACTAGTATTCCCCACCATTATATTTGGGGGGGGGGAACCAGTATTATCGCCACAGAACCTTGTTGTTTTATTCAAGACTGCCTTAGGTTGTTTCAGTCCCTACATGGTTGCGTGTTTTTACACACATACTGTACACACACACGCACGCACACTCCCACTATGGTTCAAGTTCAAGGTTTATATATCCGTGTTGTATTGGTTATGTCACTTTTTGGCAATGACGACAATCATGTACTTAACACATCTACTTATTCTGTCTCTTTATTTCGGTATGAAGATTTCCAAAGTGTTAAATGATGGCGTTTGAAAATCATGCACGTTTAAGTGAAGCTCCATCAAACCAGCCCCTCTTTAACATGCGCGACTGCAGATCAGGACCCCCTTTTGATCAAATATGTTATTTGATTCAGCATATCAAACAATTGCTCTTGCTTTATGATTGAATAAAAAGCCTCGGGGCAAAATGTAAAGAAGAAGGTACTGGTGAAAAACAGGTTACTGAGCTCGGAGTGGATCCGCTTGGATCCATTTGGTTCGCTAAATCCAAATAATGATGCAAGAATAATAACTTAAAGTTGGCTCTGCTCTAATGGAATCATTCATATCACACTTAAATCATGAATAGCAGGGGTGACAGTGTCATAAATACCTACTGAAGAGCAAAATGGCATCACTGCCTTCACTTTTTACAAGGGCCGCTCTTGGTGCTTTTGTCGAGCACAGAAAAGAGAAGTGAAGTGTTCAGCTCTGTGCTCTGGGCTACGGCAGCGAGAGCGTTTCCTCAGCAACGCTAATCCTCCTCCTGTGTTACTTTTCTTTTTCCGCAGGTTTGGCAGTTCACCAGATAATCACAATCACTGTGTCTCTCATTATGGTTATCGCAGCCTTGATCACAACACTCGTCCTTAAAAACTGGTAGGAAAGATTCCTTTACTTTAGGCGCATTCACTTTAGCCGCCCACGCGATTTCAGCAGGGTTCCAGGTATGATTTTCTGTTTGTTTTCTTGTCTTTGGTGCGTGTTTTTGTAGCTGTGCGCAATCGGTAAATGGCCGCCACAACAGCCATCAGCGCAAGATCCACCAGCAGGAAGAAAGCTGCCAAAACCTGACAGACTTCACGCCGGCCCGCGTGCCCAGCAAGGTGGACATCTTCACTGCCTACAACGACAGCCTGCAGTGCTCGCATGAGTGCGTCCGGACTGCCGTGCCCATCTACACCGACGAGATGATCCAGCAGACGCCCGTCTACAAGAGCGCTTACAACGGGAACAGGTAGGGCGCACACGCCGACGCCTCCTGCATTCACCGCGGTTATTAGCACTCATGTTACAAAGTAAAAGAACAGGCAGGGGAGGAATCAAACTCTGAAACAGCCGCTATGAATAGTTCATGCTTTTGGAAACGTGAGCTACGCATCACACTGTGTTTCGCAGTTTAGTTTTATTTTTTCAACCAAATTATGTTTAAAGCTAAAGACGTTGTTGAGTAATACAATCCTAACTCCTTTAGTTATGACCAGTCAACACATTCTCAAAGCTACTTTCAGACTGTGTAGGTAGCAACTGTATTTTATAATGATTCATCATTCATTGAAATATGCAATAACTAAGAACAGTTTATACAAAATGTAATAATGACATTAGAATGTTTCAAAGGCCTTAACCTTTCTCCTACATCTGCAAAACGCTGTGAGGAGCATTTCTTACTGCCTCCTATTCACAGCAGTCTGGATTCAGGCCCTTTTCTAACAATAGCAACTATGTGCACACAACACACCCATGTTTGGGCCTAAATGCTGCTTTATACCACAACACTGGTGATTCATTGGTGTTTTCTCAACTCGCTTCTCTCTGTGTGTGATGACCTGACATGGCAGGTGTACACTTTGATGTTGCACGTAGCGTAACCATGCGCTTTGTAGAGTGTGGACAGCGTGTACTGTTTGAGGGGGACAACAGTAAGAGTCATCTCAGCCTCGGGGCCCGTAAAGATGGTGACACGCAGGACCCTGTAACAGATTGCGTATGCTGCCAGCGATATAGGATCATTCATCTAAAAGTGAAAAGTGTGTTTATTTATTTAAAGTCGAGGAGGGACGGCCACATCTCCAGGAACATTATTACTGATAATCCAAGGATTCTGCAGTCTGCGATTATTTCGTCCGTGTCTGTCTGTGACAGATGGCACTAAATATTCCATTAGTACAGCAGGTGTGTGGAGTTGAGTTACCAGCGCGAGCCGCTCGGCAATAATGTACCGTGGGAATATACATATGAAAGAACTTGAGTTGCCGTCCGTATTAACGTTCCCTCCTCTTGGTCCCGCAGGCCGTCCCCCACTGAGAGACAACTCATTCCTGTGGCCTTCGTGTCAGAGAAATGGTTCGAGATCTCTTGTTGACAAGCTGAAGGCCGTTGCTCACTTCCTGTGGGTGGAAGAGACTTCCTGACTTCACGCTCCGGTGGGTACGCCGCCGCCTCGTCCCCCACGAAAAACCATCGTCTGGGCCTTGCCCACCCCACCCTGCCCCACTTTGGGAATAGATGACAACTTGGCATATGTTTTGTTATTTGTGACATGATTATGCTCCTCTCCATGTTCCGAGCAGAGATTTTAAAAAAAAGGGTTTAGAGATCCAGTTCAGTGCGGTGACAGAGTTTACAAGAGACATTAATTATGTATAAATCAGTATTTATAAGCTATACGCTCCCAATTAATCAGTTCCCTCCTCATCTCTGCAGCACTCCCATTCATCCTCACAGCCGACGCACATTGTTTTGAACACTCTGAAACGGGGGGAAGGGGCACTTTCACGTGTTTCTAATATACGCCAGAATGGACGCATTTCAAATCCAAAGCATGAAAGTTAAACACATGCTCCGGCCCACGGTGTTGCTGGAAGCCCCGCGGGGGGGGGGGTGCGACGTCTGCTATTGACCCAGATTTTCAGAAGGAATAGATGGCCTGCAGGTAGTGTAGTGAGAGGACAGCGCCTCGCCGACGTCTGGACTCGCTTTAGTCTCGGCCGGCGCAGCTCTACACAGAGAGGCCCCCAGTGCGGCGGCCTTAAACCACATCACATCCATTATTGTCGCGCTGCAAGCCCAACGGATGTGTTACACTAGGTGTGTTTTCGAAAAGGATACCAGTTCCCCAGAACTTTAAAATCACAAAGTAGCCCTTTTCTAAATGTCCTGTCTGTGTTAGAGTGATTCTTTTTCTTTCGAGCTGGAATATGAGTGATAATTTGTGATTTTTGTCCTCCGCAGGCTCCAGTTGGAAACGACAAAAACACACAAAAACAGCTTCTTTTGTAAAATAGTGTGATCACTCTTTGGACACTGGTGAAGATATTTATTTTTCTAAAGATGACAAGCAGAGCAGCCACAACGCTGCCACTCCATAAATTCCAGGAAACGTACAGTCATTTAGATATAGATTCTATATACGTATATTTACCGGATGTGTGGGATGAGATTGTGGACGTCACAGGTGTCTCAAGGAAAACATTTGATGTTTTGAAGGAGGAACCCGAGGAGCTGCTGTGCGAGGAAGATGAACTGTATTTCTGAACAATGTGCCAATAATGCCACTATGTGCCACAACCTGGATAGAAGGAAGTTTCAACAAGTGATGGACTAAACGGAGAGCGCTATATCAACCCTGTATCCACTCCAACTACGCTTTTGTTTCTTTGTTTTTTTAACAAATGTGAAAGATAAAAAAATGCTACAAATGTATTTGAAAATGTTTTGAAATAGTTCTAAGAAATGTGTTGCAAAAATAATCGAAAAAGATATTCATAAGACGCACTATTCTATTAGTTTGGGGCAAGAGAAGAGAGGAGGGGGGGGGGGGGGGTAAAAAGAAACGGTACATGCTTTAGTGAACAAAACATTGTTTCTATTGGTCCCATTTTAAAAAGAATAGTTCTGTCTATTTTTTTACTCAGTAGAGTCTGCCACAGCCCTGACGGTGGCGCACTTGGGAAAACACCGAGATTATAACAAAGAAACCCATCCGAATCCACCTGGTGCCAGCCGACCCGACGCCCGCCACGATCGCTTCATTTCTTACGTTAGTCCCCGGTTCGGCCCAATGGAAAGAGAAACGACGCGGTTCTGTGGTGCTGGATCGCAACGAATCCCACAGCGGCAAATTGCTCCAACAGATGGAGTAAAGGAAGCCACAACAGACTGCGCGGAGCTGGACAGGACATTCATACTGCCTCAGGTCTGTCGAGCTCTTTTGCACACTTCACCATGGTCTCACTTTCAGTACATGTTTGGGATCCATTGCGACGCTTGGTTGTGATTTGGAGCTGCAACGCGAAGTGGAATAGATTTAATTTGAGCCTCAAAAAATCAAACCATTCATGTTACAATTTGCATGAATAGGAAAGAGATTGAAAAAATTAATCCCCCTCGGCAGAAAGTAGATGAATATCCCCACGCAACTCCCGGATTCACTTGATGAATTAATAACACATTGGGGAAGCTACAAAGTCTGAATCACTGTCAGAACGTCAAGAAGGGCACGAGCCAATTTGTTGAAGACAAATTTCCATTTTATTTTTTTCTTCCCAACAAAGAATGTAAGGAAGCTGTGAAAAAGGCGTCCGTCCGGGTCACAGCGATCTGCATGGCGGGTTTCAAAAAGGCGAGGAGGGAGGAACTCCCTCGACGAATGTGAGGTCGAGGTCAGTCCCGCCCTCTGCGACACACAGGACATTATTCCCAGCATATCAGAACGTCAAGCTGTCACGGCCACAGAAAATGGAGGTTTGAGCACGAAATATTGTTTTTTTTATTCGTGCCGACACAGACATAGGATAAAAGGGGGGAGTTTTTATTTTTCGCCGTCGGTGTATTGTTGGAGGAAGGGGATTATGACGAGCCATTCAGCCGTTGCCAAATTGCTTTAAACTGTCTCTTGTGTCCTCGAGGTGAGGGGGAACTCCACGGCCGAGGAGGAGAGCGCTCCCCAATAATTGAAGTATCGCCCCGCGGCCGTGAAACACAGATTACCTTTTGTGTCCCGCGAAGCGTTTGACGGAAGCCGCCTACAAATCTACCTTCTTTATCGTGCTGTGGGTTTGTTCAAAGCACAAATACAATTCTGTTATTGTAAACGTTTTTTTTTGGGGCTGCAGACAGCAATATGTACAGGTTCCAAAAAAAAAAAATGAAGAAAAAAGGTGGCGTTTTGTTTGCGCCGCCGCCGCCAGCGGATCTCCACCAATTTGCTCCGGCCGCTCTTCAGGCGCCTACCCCTCCCTGAAGGATCCAGAGGAAAAGCAGACCGTCTGTGAATGCGAGCCGCTCAGGAGGCGCCGGCACGGCCTGGGGTCGACACCGCGGAGCCTGAAAACTCCCGCCACCACGTGGAACCCCCCCCACTCTCCCTCACGAGCGACCCGCACCGACCCAGCCCCCCCGCGCGCCGCCGGGCGGCCCGAGTTTGACATAACATATATTTTTTTGACCGAAGAGTGTTATCTTAATAGAAGGGTGACGGAGATCTTGCTGTATATTATACACGTGTAAATGTATTTTCTATATATTTGCTTCTATTTGTGTACAGGTTATTTTTCGGGGGCCCGACCCGTTTTCGGGGGGGAGGTCTCAGCTAGATCGGGGATAGTGTCTTTGTTTACATGTGTAACTACAGTATTTCTTTCAACAACACAAAACTAACCGTGTGCCAAGCTTCCTACCTGCACTTTCAAGCAGTACATGTATTCTATCCTTAGCTAACCAGTATAATACTTAGAGGCGCGGCGGTGATTTGCGGGAGGAAGGTGGTTCCAGGAGGCGTTGGGATCATACCCTGCTGTGTTCACACTCAGAAACCAGCGGCTTTCTGTTCTTAAGCATCATTTACACATCAACGCTAATATTGAGTGTTTCAGCCCAAGAATAATTATAAAACTATTGTTGAAAACAGCAGCTGCCAAGTAGCCAACTAAACTTAACTAGACTGGGTTGCATTAAAATGTCACATCTTCTTTTTGTAAATACATTGCTACAACCGCCCCAGACAATGTATGATTTGCCACATTGTAATCGCTGCGTAAACTGACCGATAATAGTATTTATGAGACCTTCAAAAGGAAGGTGAGGAAAGATGGTTCGTTAACTTCTCGGTGCATCTGCTGAATCGACCTGTTTGAGAGTTAAGCACAGTGACGGGGGAAGCCATTCACTTCACTGCATTTCTCAATGTTTTTGAAGGATAAATCTGGTTCATTTCAACATGTTTATAACCTTTCTAGCTCCAACAGAAAATGCTTTCGGTTATGACATTTCACTCACAAAATGAACAAATGAAGTCCAACTGGGTAAAACACAACTAATGCGAGCACAGTTTCTCTCTAAACTGTGTGGCCATTGTACAGTGTGCTCCCTCCAAAAAGGTTAAGCTAAAATTGGGGCTTTGTTTACAACCTGACCGCTCGTGCTTTCGTTGATTTATTTTTTTACCAATGTTGCTGTGTTCGAAGATCTGAAAATTGAGGTTGGCTTCATAAAATATTACCGTGAGTGAAGGCAAAAAGAGTTTTACGGAACTGAATTATCCTTTGATCTCAAGAGACCAGTGTGGAGGATTAAAGAGGATTCATCAGCAAAAATACAATGGAACATTAACAAGAATATTTTCACTGACGTTTAATCAAGTGACCGTTTTGTTAACTTAGAATGATGCCTCCGTATCAACATCCGGGTCCTGTTTATTGATCGTTGCTCTGCCATGTTTCTACAGTAGCCCAGGAGGGACAAACACTGAATCCAGACAGGCCCCTCAGTCTGTTAAGGTCCCCGTAGTTCTTGGATAGAGAGTGATGGTGGACTTTTTTGGCCTTTGCCATCTTGGTAGTTGAACAAGACGTGTCTCGAGAGGGGGAGGCTAAACACTACTGAACGTTTAATAAGACACTTTTAGGCAATCGGCAGTTTCAATTAACCTTGATTTGATGTGGTGAGTCCAGTGAGAAGTACAGTTATATTATTTTATTCAATCAAACTTGTATTCTGTAGATTTCACCAAATGCTACACACTGGTCCTTTTAAGAACACCAAACCAAATGTCTCCATTACTAAACACTGTATCTGACCTTATTGTGTGACAGTGATTCCACATTCTTTGAAACATACAAAACCACATCAGCGAGTTTCTTTCTCTGTTCCCCAAAAATACTATTTGGCACATCAAGCCCACAGGGAGCTGCTACCTGATAGCGATTCCATTGGCGTTTTTGAAGGACTTCTTCGACGAGGCAGCGGCTCTGACATGTACCTTTTCATCCGGAGACTTCGGCATAGATCGCCCTCCCACTTTTGCGTCTCAACTGATAAGTCATGAAATGCCGCTTCCTTTCCTTTTTGGTTTATATTTCTGGATGGCTGATGAGCAGCGTTGTATCGTAGCTAAGAGGGAGGAAAATTATTCCACTCCGCTGGTCAGATTTGATTCAGGAAACATTATTTCAAGCAAAGGCAGATGTGAAAGGGGGGGGGGGGGGGGGCTCGCAAAGAAAAGTCTTGAACAGACACCAAAGACTTGAAATGCCTTTTTTTCCCACAGCAAATGAATATTTTTTTTCTCCCTTTGTTCTTCTTCAGCCAACGCTCCTCAGCACAAACGAGCTACCAATCAGCGAGGGTTCCCCCGTCCACGCCAGGGATGCATGTCAGACATACAGAGCGCAACCTATTGACATATTTGTTTTCAAAATTACATGAAGCCTGAACATCGGCACGGCCGAGGTTTTGTTTTTTTCCCACAACGCGGGAGGAGAAGGATCGATGGGCCGGCTTGTTTTAATCAAGGCCTTCAGCTCCGAGTGTAGAAACATGTTTCACAGCCAGCGAGTGATTTTACCACAAATATCGGGCCAGGTGAGACTCGACGAGACGAAGGAAATGTTCAATACGCCCATTAAAAGTCTAATGCAGCCTACATAGACTAATATCTTACTGAGTCCTTCCTCTTTTTTTTTTTTGTCGTCCAAACACTGTAGCTCCTCACTCCGCTTCTCCCCATCGTTTCAGAAAAATCACGTACTGTGCGCTTACTCTAAAGCGGAGGGCTCTGACTCTCCTCTCGAGTCATGTTTTTACTTTTCTATTCACAAGAGCTAAGGCACTGTCGCTGTCTGTGCGTGTCAATACAAAGAAAGAATTCCCAACTCTCCCATTGGGCCCCCGGCTGGATGGAGACCGGCTGCGTGACGCCGATCGGCCGCTTCATTTGCTTAGTTCGCCTCCGGCGCCGCGAGCAATTATGGAAAAAATAGATCCTTTGTTCCCAGAGAGTCGATTAAGAATGAAATATATAGATATAAATAATACATATAAATATATATATATATACACAAAAATATCATAGTTTCTAGCGTAGAGGGGGTTGTGTACGATTTTTTTTTTCTCGTGGGGGGGGAGTCACATGTGGGCACACACTGGTCTGTTCATCGAAGCTGACTTACAATCACAATCCATACCTACCATGAAGGAAACCTGACTCGAGTTGTGTTGTCGCCATAAAAATGAAGAGTTTGTACTTTGTGACTCTTAAACTTTTTATATTTGTGTTTAATATATCAATGAGTACCTCTGTTGACTTTTGTATAAGACCTATAGTATATACAAACACACATACACACACAACACACCTCCACAAGTCTGTCTCTGTGACGGCTAAATGTTGTGTGACTTTTATTTTTGTGTCTTATGAACCACATCTCTTCCTTTTGTAGTTATTGGTAAACGTTTCGATTTCCAGGTGACTATGATTTGGTTACTCTTGTACTACTAAGCTCTGTATTTGCAAGCACTGTAAATGCGATTCTCATTGGATTCGTCCTCTGTACATTTAGTACTCTGATGTTGCTATTAATAAAATGTAAAACAACACGGGCTCGGGCCAGGACGAGTTTCTTGGAGTGGGTGCGAGGGGAAGGTTAGAGGTCGGGGCCAAACAGCATACAATGTAAGATTTCAATGTGAATATATGTTCATTTTCCTTTCTTCAAACCATGTTCTTACTGGATCAGAAATACCATTTCACTTACTTAGCAACTCCATCGCGGAAACAATCGTTCAGCCAGAGAATCTAAACCACTTTATTTTTTGGTGAAACTGAAATGTCGTTAAAAGGTAATGAGGCAGAGCCAGAGCTGGTAAAAACTAAACCGGGAAGAATGTTTGGATGCTTAGTTTTATTTAGCACTGTTTTATCGTAAATAGTGGCCTTTATTCAAAATCAAAGCTGTAATCAACCCTGCTGGACCCTCGACTGCTGATTCATACTCCCTCACTTCACTCACTTCTTAGCTTTCATATTCAGATCCTGGTTTTTACCATGAGACTGGTTGTGTTCTTTGTTTGTTACTGGCTGTGTCCTTAAGTGGTGGTTAGAACGGTCATGTTTCAATCACGCAACCGCTTGAAAAAATAATTGTCTGCATATTTATACATGACATATTTGCAAATTCTCAAATCTTATAACACTAAACTGATCATATTATTATTCAATAAATATCCTCAATTGTACAAGATTCTATGTGTCTATGCTAAGGAAAAGTGACACAGGAACATTTGACAATATGACAATATTATCATGGTCATTAGCATTACATTATTACTATATTTACTTCTCAGGTGTCAAAAGCAGCCGTGGTCCCAAGCTCAGTCTGAGTAAAAAGCTCCAAAATGAGCAGAGACGTCCTTGCAGGAAGAACCATAAGTGTTCCAACCGCTCCTTTTCCACTGAATTAAGGTGTGAAATGGCTTCTACGCTGTCTCTCCTTCCCATCTCAAGCAGTCAGCCTTTAATAATAGCATTGATTAAAGCTTAATGAGCACAGCGCCGGCGTGTTTAGTATTCACTTCACTGTGTCGTTTGTCGGCTGGGTTGAGAATCCTGCTGAAGATTCGATCAAAGTTAGAACTGGATTTTTCCAGTTTACAAGAAAAAGCCAGTGGCATCTCTACCGCTGACTGCATTTCTTTCAGTTCTTCGTTCTCAGTTGTGTTATATTCTTCGCTTAATCGGGCTGCATGGCATCGTGGTGTCTGCTTAACATTTTAACCCCGACTGAAACATCTGGAACATCATTCATCCTACAGACATTCATAGTCCCCAGAGGATGAATTCTGGTGACTTTGGCGATATCTTCACTTTTCTCCACAGGCACCTCCACAACTTTGACAATTATGTCTTTGCCTGCTATGTCTTAACAAAGGATTGAGATGTTTGGGGCAAATGCTGGTGCATAATTTTCCCCAGAGGATACAAGCGCTGGGGATTTCTTGACTCCTCCTCTGACAGCAGTGAGTGAAATATCTCCGCTGTGAAATGAATCGATATTCAAACTACAGTAAATACCAGCAAATAAAAAATAAATACAGTAAATACAGTCTCATCATCCTCAGCTGTATATGTTTAGCCTGTCCCCTTTTAATAAAGAAAGCAAGGCGTGTGAATGTCAGCTAGTATTTCTTCGAGATTATCCTCCATGTTAACTTATAACCATTATCACATTTTGTTTGATTGATCTGGTAATATCTGAAAGGATAGTTGCGGTTTATTAAAACTTGTTTGACTATTTGGGGCATCATTCTTTATTGATACTAACAACGTTATTTCCACCAAAGTGATTGCTGAGGTTTGGCAACGTGGCAACACTGCTGAGAAGTAAAACAGGGAAATACACTTATTACAGAAGCTGTAATAACCAAGAGTTATAGAGTTGTCACTATCTCTGTGTGAACAAGAAATAAGTTCAGCGAAACATAACATGCATGTCGGCTTTGTTGTAGAATCTCTAACTTTACAATGGAATGGGATGCTGACTTATATGGAATGATGTCATTAGCGGGTAAACATGCAGGTGTTCAGTAGAACAGTATAATGTAAAAGAAGTGGAGTTGTTTCCCAGTAGATTGCCTTACTGCTTTCAAGAATTGATATTTATTGTCAACTCAAGCATAATTCTTCTTCTGCAAGAAAGCTTTCCCATAGTTTCACCTGTTTTTTTAATGGAAATACAATGTCACACTTTTAAAAAATATATTTTGAATAAATCATATTATCTGCCTCTGCTGAAACGCAGAGGTTTCACAGACATTGTGCACAGGTGTTAATGAAATGTCACAATAACAAACAAATGCATTGAGGCATTTCGCAACTCCTTACACGCGCATTCACACTCGGCTGATTCCATCGATGAAGAAATAAACGTTAATTCCCCCCAGCAGCCACTTGGTGTTTTTCTCCATTCAACAATCCATCATCTGTTCAGAGGCATCTCTCTCATCCTCTTCCTCTGGGCTGTCGTATCATCTCTGCCTTCGCCCCGGCTTTGCCTCTCGTGCTGTCTGGACGGGTTTTTTTGGGGATCACCTGGAGATACAGTTCTCCTCTCCTGTTTGATGAACCGGCCCGGGCAGAATGAGTCCGCCTCTGTGCTCCCTTAAGCCAGGCTCTGTCCTCGGGGAGACCTGGCAGGCCGCATTAGCATGAGCCCGGTTGAATCGGCCCGCACTGTCTGTGACAGGCCTGCAGCCCCCCTCGCTCCTCATACATTAAATAGAATTATGCAGTCCTGCTCGCACAGACGGGCGCGATCAATGGGGTGGACGACACATGCCAACAGCTGCCAGGGAGAGATATTTCAGTGCGATGAGATTAATGCCCGCCGCAAACCTACACCCATCAAAGACTCTGCCCCCACCGGGTTCAGACAGCACAGTCAAAGTTTATTAGCTCCTCGGTTGTCCGGCGTTGAGTGGAGGGACCACTTGTGACTGACAGCTGGGACGCGTGTGGGCAGGGCTGAGAAGACTATCAAACATAAACGTGTGCAGCTTCTACGGGGGCGGTTACTCGCATCCAGGTCTTGGAGCTTCCGTTGGGTGCTTTGTGTATTTGTGCCATGAAGTCAGGATCCCTGTCTGACCCATTTTGCTCTGTTTTGCTTCTGTTTTTCCCCCAAAGTCTCCTTCCCTCATGTGTCTGTCATCCCCCTGCTTGTTTTGCCATGTGCTCGTTGTGGGTGTGTTCTTGGTCCCACCTCCGGACGCCGCCCATGGCCACATTCCTGAGCGCTGCGCAGCTGCGACCAATGAGACTCGTCACTGGTTGTATTTTAACCCTGGTCCTGCAGGCCCGGGTTGTCAGCCCGTCTTGTCTTCTGCCCCTGAGTTCCTGTACGCCACCTGCTTCGGCGTTGGCCCCCGGGCGCCACGCTTCCTTTTGGTGCTACTAATAAATGACGTTCCCCGATACTGGCTCCTGTGGTCCTAATCACTGTTCTCCTGTGACAGAGAAACTCTTGCTGCTTTTAGGGTCCACCAGGAAAAAGTCTCAAACACCTCATTGTCTCCCCAGGACACGCTTGATCAACCTTGGAACTTCAAATCAAAATGTTAGACCTATGAAAGCCTAACAGCTGAAGTGCTGAAGAGCAAAAGGACGAAATAGTCCATATCCTGCCATAATTCCACTATTGACAGTCGGGTCTGCGAAGTCGTGTTCCTTTCTGAACCTTTCTGTAGATCTAGAATCTTCTCTTGATTCATAGCAGAGTGCACCGTCTCCAGCTTAGCATAATGCAACCTTCCCATAAGGCCTCTTTAGACTTTTCCACGTGTCCGCACAGGTTTTGGTCTCCACCCACGGGTGACATTTGTTGTCTGTTTGTATCAGAAAGTTAGTGACCTGTCCGGGTTGTTTTATCACTCCTGCCCAGTGTGAGCGGCATTAGACGCAGCACCAACGTTAAATGTTTTGATTGTTATTTTTTATTTGTACACGTGTGTCATGGCTATCTTTCTGTCGGTAAAGCTCATAGAAAAGAAGAGCATAAAAAATAGCTTCTTCTGAGGTGAACCAAAAGCTGAACAGTGTTGCATCAGCAGCAAGGCTGCACTTTTCTCCTTCATGTTTAGAGATTTCACACCATGAGAGATGCAGAAATAGGGCCGAAGATTATTGAGAATGGTTCATGAGGCATATTGATTAACAGGTCGAAGCCCCAGCAAATCTGCCCTGAAGCTTTTAAGCTAATATGCTTTCTTTTAAATATACATGATATCCGTTTCCAATGCAGCGAGGACAAGAAGAAACAAAAGCATGGATTCTGTAGAACATATGCCTCTGTTCACACACTAATCATTTATATGGACAAATTCAGTGACAATGGTCAGGGATGATGCAGGTTCCGCACAATATATATAACACAAATATATATTATTGACATTATAGTCAGAGATAAACATCATTATGTAGGACAAATTTTTATTTTTCAGAACTTCACTTTTTTTGATTTCTCTCTTTTCCAGTTTCATTAAAAGCAGAGATACTTGAAAAACCTGAGGGTGACATCACAGTCACTACCTTCATCTTTTTTTTTTTTTTTTTTTACAGTCTTTGATTAGAACTTAATCCTCAGAGTGAGACCCCGAAGATAATTCGTTGCTCTGGTAGTTAAAAATGCACACACAGCACTCGAGCATTACGCAGCGCTTGTGGTCAAATGCCGTGCATTAGGAACCCACTCATCCTCAGTGCCTCCAGTAATGCATTGTTGAGTCTGCAAATGGCAAAACATTTTCGGGTGACACATCAACTTAATATGTCCCTAAAAAGGGGCTGTCGGATGCTAAACGGGAGAGAGAGAGGGAGGGAGATAAAGAGCAGTGATTCCTTTAATAAACTTGAAACCAGACGAGTCGCCCCAGGTAAGCGTAAACATGACAATTTAGTTCCTCTTGCAAGTGGAGGAAACTCTCCAAAAACAGGATACAACCCAGAGCCTGAAGATGCCAGAGGTGATTTGTGATGATGTCATTCAGTTAAAATAGTTCCTCATTAGCACCTCTGGAGCAAGTTGCATGATTAATCGTCAGCAAAG